GCGGCTCTCGCACTCGCTCTCCGTGGCGTGCTGGCCGCGCTGCAAGCACACCCTGTGCCCGCAGGACGTGCGCAGCTGGTGGCCCCCTATCGCCGCCAGCGTCCAGCGAGCCAGACCCGCCGGGGACCTCTCCGTCCTCTTCTTCCTCCTCCTCCTCCGCCTCCTCCTCCGCCTTCTTCCTTTTCCTCTTCCTCCTCCTTCCTCCTCCTTCTTCCTTCTCCTCCTCCTCCTCCTCCCTTCTTCTCCCGCTCACGTGCCTCCGATTGTACCGCTGGGGCCATGACGACCGCCGGGCTGTCTCTACAGCTGTCCCTGCATCACCCTGCTCCCTCACAGGGACCTGGGATCTGGCAGGTCCGCTGCCAGACCCGCCCTACCATGCACACCGCGTGGCAGCCTCGGACCAGCGTTGGACACGCACGCCTCCTCGGCAGCCTGGCTCCTGTCGCCCTCGCGATGGCCCGCGGGCAGCGCGCCCGCGCCGGCGTCGTCCTCGCGGTCGCCGTGCACCTCTGTCTGCAGCTCGTCTTCGATCGCCTTCGCAGCCGCCAGCGCCACCGCCACGGCCAGTAGGCCCCTACGGACTTCATGCTTACTGGGCGGGTCACGCACGCGTGAGGGTGATTCGGTTGGCCTGCGCCGCATCCGCTGACCCCTTCGTATCTCCTCGCCAGAGGGTCCCCGGGCACGGGCGATGGCTTCGGAATCCTGGGAGTTCGGGTTGGCTTGCGTGCCGAAGAGCCGATGCCGCTGGCCTCTTCGTGGCTCCACTGGCGTGCGCATCAGGAGCGAGGGCCCTCGCCACGCACGGCTTCGAGGAGAGCCTGCGGGCGCGACTGCCGAGCCGAACCCCTTGCGCTCCTTGGGACCTTCACCGTGCCATGGCACAGGATGGCCCCAATCTGGCACAGTCGTGGTGAATGATGTGCGCGGCGTAGGGTCCTTCCCAACGTTTTTCCCAACCATCCTGTGGTGTTGGGTCCTCGTTTTGAACAGACGGCGCCCCGCGTTCTCCTCCTCCTCGTCTCCTCCTCCTCCTCCTCCCGCCTCCTTCCTCCTCCCCCTCCTCCCTCCTCCCCCTCCTCCTTCATCCCTGCGTTTCACCCGCCCACGACAACGCTTCGTGGCCCCATAGGGAGCTCCACCGAAGGTCCCAGTGGGACCGCCCGCATGCGTCAACCACCACCCAGCACAGGGTTTCGAGGCCCCGTAGGGAGCTCCACAGAAGGCCCCAGTGGCACTGCCCGCATGCGTCAACGCCACCCAGGACAGCGCTTCGTGGCCCCATAGGAAGCTCCACCGAAGGCCCCAGTGGGACCGCCCGCATGCGTCAATGCCACCCAGTACAGCGCTTCGTGGTACCATAAGGGGCTCCATTAAGGGCCTCAGTGGCACCGCCCGCATGCGTCAACGCCACCCAGTACAGCGTTTCGTGGCCCCGTAGGGGGCTCCACCGAAGGCCCCAGTGGCACCGCCCGCATGCGTCAACGCCATCCAGTACAGCGCTTCGTGGCTCCATAGGGAGCTCCTCCGATGGCCCCAGTGGCACCGCCCGCATGCGTCAGCGCCACCCAGGACAGCGTTTCCTGGCCCGTAGGGGGCTCCACCGAAGGCCCCAGTGGCACCGCCCGCATGCGTCACGCCACCCAGGACAGCGCTTCGTGGCCCCATAAGAGGTTCCATTGAAGGCCTCAGTGGCACCGCCCGCATGCGTGAACGCCACCCAGGGCAGCGCTTCGTGGCTCCATAGGGGTCTCCACCGAAGGCCCCAGTGGCACCGCCCGCATGCGTCAACGCCACCCAGGACAGCGCTTCGTGGCCCCATAGGGAGTGCCGCAACGGGGCGGCTTGTGAATCCTCCCACTGGGGCCTTCGGTGGAGCTCCCTATGGGGCCACAAAGCGTGTCAGGGATGTGTGCCGAAATGAAGCGGGGAGACGCATGTGGACACTCCCACAGGGGCCTTGGGTGGAATCCCCTATGAAGGCCATTGCGTGAGGGGTGTTCCGAAATTGGGCGGGGAGGGAGATTGATGTGGATCATCCGACTGTTGCCTTCGGTGTAGCTCCCTATGGGGCCACAGAACGTGCGAGTTGTGTGCCGAACTGAGGCGGGCAGACGCACGTGGACCTTCCCATTGTGGCCTGTGGTGGAGCTCCCTGTGTGGTCCCAGAACGTGCGAGGGCGGTGCCGAAATGGGGTCGGGAGACGCATGTGGACCCTCCCACTACGGCCTTCGGTGGAGCTCCCTATGGGGCCACAAAACGTGCGAGGAGTGTGCCGAGATGAGGCGGGGAGGCGCATGTGGACCCTGCCACTTGGGACTTCGGTGGAGCTCCCTATGGGGCCACAAAACGTGCGAGGAGTGTGCCGAGATGAGGCGGGGAGGCGCATGTGGACCCTGCCACTTGGGACTTCGGTGGAGCTCCCCGTGGGGCCACGAAACGTGTGGGGGGTGTGCCGACATTGGGCGGGGAGATTGATGTGGACACTACCATGAGGGGACCTCGGTGGAGCTAGCCATGGGGCCACGAAACGTGTGAGGGGTGTGCCGACCTGGTTGGGGGAGACGCATGTTGACCCTCCCAGTGGGGCCTGCGGTTGTTCTCCCCGATGGAAGCGCGAAGCGTGATGGGTGTGTCGATAAGGGGGCGGGGAGGCGCATGTGGCCCTCCCACTGGGGCCGTCGGTGGAGCTCCCCGTGGGGTCACGAAGCGTGTGAGGGGTTCGCCGAACTGGAGCTGGGAGACGCATGTGTACGCTCCTACTGGGGCCTTCGGTGGAGCTCCCTATGGGTGCACGAAGCGTGTGAGGGGTGTGTCGGAATTCGGCGGGGAGACTCTGTGGACCCTGCCACTCTGGCCTTCGGAGGAGCTCCGTCTGAGGCCACGAAACGTGTGCGGGGTGTCCCTAGCTGGTAGACTGATGCTGAGAGAAGAAGAAGTTACGAGGGGATGAGGGGCAGGAGGTGAGGAGTGGAGAGGAGACGCGGGGACTGTTGGCTGGTGAAGCGAGGACCCACCACCACAGGATGGCTGGTGAAGAGCAAAAAGGCTGAGGCTTCTCCCCGGTTTCTGCTTCTGGGGAGCCCTCGCCGGGCCCAGGGATCGTCCCTCCTCCTGCTCCTCCTCCGCCTCCTCCTCCTCGTCCTCCTCCTCCTCCTTCTACTCCTTGGGCGAAGGACCCAACCATATGCATTTGTGTGAGTAGCGCCGTGGCGGGTGCCTCTCTCGGTGCTGCTCCCTCTTCTGGGGGGGCCACGGCACGCGGGGGGCGTGCCGTAGATAAGTTGGGCGGGGTGGAGGCGCGCAAGTGCGTGCCTTGCCGCCGGGGGCTTCGGTGGCGAGCTGCCTGTGGGGCCACGGAGCGTGTGAGGGATGTGCCGAAATGTGATCGTTTCTGATTCCTTGTTTTGCCGATCGGCGCGGGCCCTCGCACCCCCCCATCCCCCCCCCCTGGAGTGGATCTTTGCTGTTTTTGGCGCCTGTTTCGAGCAGGTGGAGTCCCTCCCCCATCGGACGCACTGTCGCAGAGAGCCGCACTGCGTAGAGGGCTGGAGCCAGACTCCCCCCCCCTCTCCTCCTTTCCGCCCAATATCGAAACGCCGAACAAAAAAAGCTCACAATGGGCGGGGAGGACGCAGGGCCCATCTCGACTCCTCCGATTCAATCCGATTCGAGTTCGATGGCTCCCGATTCAGATGCGATCCGATTTCGGAGTTTTCGATTTGGGCTTTGATTTCTCACTGGAGGCACACTAGCCTGCCGATTTCCGCCGATTCGACGTCTCCCGACTCCACTGCCGATTTCCGCCGATCCGATTCATTTCGATCGCCGATCCGACTTATCGATTCGATTCTGGGCTCTACTGCGAAACGCGTGAGGGGTGTGCCGAAATGGGCGGGGGGGACGCGCGCGGCCAAGGTCACGGGGGCCTTCGGTGGAGCTCCCCACATGGCCATGAAGCGCCGTGCTGGCTGCGCTACCGGGACCTTCGGTGCCTCTCCCAATGGGGCCACGAAGCGCTGTACTGGGTCCACGCATGCGGGCTGCGCCACTTGGACCTTCGGCGGATCATCCTGTGAGGCCACGAAACGCTGCACTGGGTGGGGAGGCGCCTGCGGGCTGCGCCACTGGGACCTTGGGGGTGGAGCTCCCCATGAGGGCACGAGACGTTGTGCGGGGTGGGGGAGACGCCTGCGTGCTACGCCACTGGGATGTTTCCCCATCGCGCAGCAAGGCGCGCAGCGCGCCTCGAGCTGCTCCTGCAGCCTGCGGCGGGCACCGAGCCCTCTTGGCCCGGCGCTGGAGGGTGGCAAACGGCCACCGCCCCGAGGGACTGCCCGAGACAGGCTCGCGAGACGCCTGCACGCGAAAATGCTCAGAGAGAGAGAGAGAGAGAGAAAGAAAAAAAACAGAGAGAGAGAGAGAGGAACAATATAACGAAAGAGAGAGAGAGAGAGACGAGCCTCACGCACAGGCGTCCGCTCAGGAGAGTGGCTTCCGCTTCTGGCGCCCCCCCCTCGTGATCATGTTGGCCTTGCCCGTAGACGTGTTGGCTCAAGTCACTGAGTCATAATTTTGGCGAAGCACCCTGTGCTGCACGTCAGGATCCCCCCACCTCTAGGCCGGCAGGGATGGCGAGCCTCGCGGGCGACGATCTTCCCTACCAGCATCGGCCAAGGCCAGCGCTGGCGTGGGCGGAGGCCTCCAGCGCGGCGGCGCCCGCACCGAGGCAGCCCTCGACTCCCAGGATGGCCCGCGGGCGCCCCCGCAGCGTCGCCCACGGGGGGGCCGTGCCAGGCCCCGGCGTCCTCGGCCCCGACGGGACCGCAGGATCCGCAGGCCCTGCGGGCTCCGGCTTCCTGAGATTGCGGCCTCTTGGCCCCTCAGCGACCTGTCCGAGATGTGGAGGCTCGTCACCGGCCGAGAGACCTGCCCCGAGCCTCGCCCGGTCAACGGGACGTCGGTCCGGCGTGTCGCCCAGGCCTTCAGGGTCCCCATGCTGCCCGGAGTGGAGCCGGCCAGTGGCGCAGCCATGAGCGACCAGTCGAGCGACACAGAGTCGGAGAGCATCTCCCGCAGGCCAACCGGCCCCGACGAGCGCCAGAGGGTCCCGTGCTGCGCGGGCCCGAGCCAGTGCGGCGGCGAGTCGGCCGGGCCCACGCGCGCGGGACGTCAGCATCGAGGCTGGCCCCTCTCGACGCTGACAGCCGCGACGACCACCACATCTCTTCCCCCCTTCGAGGAGGCGCCCTCCCAGGCCCGCCCCCGCCGCGCGGGGAGGTCGCTGTCGGCGAGGGGAGGCAGGCGCCCGCGCTCCGCGAGCGGCTGAGCCTCGGCTTCCTGGGCAGCTGGGCGGCGCGCGGGGAGGCCGCGAGCCACGCCGCAGGCTGCTGGCTGCTGGGGCAGTGCGCGCTGGCATCAAAAGCTCTCTCCCGCTCCATCTCGGCCGGACTCGCTCTCGAGAGAGGTCTCCTCCGCGGCTGCGGCCCGCGTGCCAGCGGTGGGCAGCGGGGGCAGCGGGGGGGCGAGGGGGCGCGCAGCACGCAGCTCGCATAATCTTCTCCAGGAGCTTCCCGCAAAGTGCATCAGGGCAGTGGGGAGCGTGCTGGACAGTTCTGCTTCCAAGAGGCCCCGGCCTGGACGGCAGGGGCGTGCCACTCGTAGATTTCACGCGCAGCTCGCAGCTCGCAGCTCCCATAAGCTTCTCCAGGAGTTTATCGCAAAGTGCTCCAGGGCTGTGATTCCAAGAGGCCCTGGCCTGGACGGCGGGCGGATTTCCTCAAAAGGGCCCCTTGAGAGGGTGGCCCTGACGATTATTAGACCACTTCAGCAGGCTGGTAGTCTGAGCACTCAACGGCCATGGGCCATGGAGACAGCGGCGATCGGGACAGGACGGAAGACAGGGAGTGCGGGAGCAAGACGGAACGAGAGGGACAAGGATGGCGTGAGCACAGTAGAGCTGAAATCTCCTACAGAGCAGTTCGAGGATCAGAGACGTAATCGAACACTGTGGGTCGAAAGCCAGACACCGATCCACACATTGAGTGACCAAGCCGATCACGCTGCCAGTTTTTCCCTGGAGACCGATTCGCATGTCAAGCCTGATAACGAGGGAAAGGGAGGGAGGGGGGGACCGGAGCAGCAAGCAGATCGACATTGCAGATGTGGGGCCGCATGTGGGCACACGAACCCAACACGACACCGACACCGACGAACATTGCAGGGTAGGCAGGCTCGGCCATGCCCGCCCTGTCCAGGGGCGCCCCACTCGTCCACGCGCAGCTCGCAGCTCACATAATATTCTCCACGAGTTTGTCGAGCAGTTCAGGTAGGCCCGGTCATGCCCGCCTGTATCCAGGGGCGTCCCATGGTAGACTCACGCGCACACCGCAGCTCGCATAATATTCTCCAGGAGTTTTCCGAAAAGTGCATCAGGGCTGTGAGGAGCAAGCTGGACAGTTCTGCTCCCAAGAGGCCCAGGCCTGATACACTGGAGCGGTCCTGTTGGATTTCATCTTTTAGGTAGGCCTGGCTATGCCCGCCCTGTATTCAGGGGTGTGCATTCGTGGTTCTTCTTCGTCTTCTTCTTCGTCTTCCTTCTCTTTTATGTTTTCTTCCATATTCAGCCAGAGTGGCGACTCACTCGCAGTTCGCAGCTCACATAATTTTCTCCAGCAGTTTCCCGAAAAGCGCATCGGGGCTGTGAGGAGCGTGCTGGACAGTTCTGCTCCCAAGGGGCCCCCGCCTTGATGGCTGGCGGATTTCCTCAAACGAAGTTTTCCCGGAGAGGATCTGGTGGATTTCACCGTTTAATTCGGTCCATGTTCTTCTTTCCCGCTCGCGGTTCGTTTCCTTATTCTTCTTCTTATTCTTCTTCTTCTTCTTCTTCTTCCCTTCCGCTGTGACAGAAACGAGGATGATGAGGCATCCTCCTCCGCCTTCTCCTGCTCCCCCCCCTCCCCTCCTGTGAACCATGGCCCACTGATCGGAATGGCGGTGCCATGTGGGACGTGATTAGGCCCGCCAGATTGGAAGCTTCGTGCTCTGTGTGGACCCGTTTGGGTTACCCCGCCGTTTCCCCTTGCAGGAAGGGCTGAAAATCGTTGCAGGTGAGCTATGCCTGTTGTGCAGCCCCCTGTTAGCGACTGGTCCGCGGGGCACCCCGCGAGTGAACCGTGCCTGTGCGGGGTGGAGCGAGTCGCAAAGCGTCTCGCCCCTGTTTGTGCCTGATGCACCTCCCCAGAGTCCGGTCTTATATTTTTTCTCTGCCAGGGTGGTCTGCACCAGAAGATTACGCTCATGTGATCCTGCTGATCCTCCACCTCTGGCCTTTTTTCGCTGAGCAGGTCCGAATCACATTCAAAGCTTGCCGCGCTCTTCTAGTGACCAGAAAAAGCACTCTGATCAATCACATGATCATGTTAGCCTTGCGCCACCTGCCCCTCTGAGCCTCCTTGGTCTTGGCTTTCCCCCACTCAGGATAGCGCTTCGTGGCCCCATAGGGAGCTCCACCGAAGGCGTCAGTGGCGCAGTTCGCATGCATCAGCGCCACCCGGGACAGCGTTTCGTGGCCCCATAGGGAGCTCCAGCGAAGTTCCCAGTGGCGCAGTTCGCATGCGTCTCACCCACCCAGGGCAGCGCTTCGTGGCCCCATCGGGAGCTCCACCGAAGTGGCGGTGTCCACATGCGTCCGCGCCACCGATTCCGGCGCACCCCTCACACGTTTCGTGGCCCCATAGGGAGCTTTACCGAAACTAGTATTCAAAATGCGGTATTCGCAATTGCATATGGTTGGGTCCTTCGTCAGGCTTTTTTGAAAAGCGTGGCCCTCCAGAGGAAAGCCAGGGGATTCGGCAAGGGATGGGTCATGATCTCGCGTGGTGTTTCGAGGCGCCCAGGAGGCAAGCTACCTCTAATTGGCTGGTTCGGCGAATCCCCTCTGACAGCTCATGTGTGTCGATTCGGGATGAAGAAACCTAGGCCCAATGCTTTTACATGGGCAGTGTCCAGCAAACATATCCTAGAATCCTGAAGCAAACGATTCTGGTTTTCTCCTGCAGCGTTTCTCCTGCTGCAGTTACACCCTGCTGCTGTTGCACCCCGCCCACCCCCACCCCGCAGAGGGCTTCTGCGGGCTTGTAGAAAGTAGTGCATTTCGACCATAGTCATAGTCCACCCCTAGGCGGATATTCAGAGTCATAGCTGGAAGCTGGATGCTCAAAGATAGCACCAGTGTGCTATCTTTGAGCATCCGTGAGGGTGATTCGGTTGGCCTGCGCCGCATCCGTTGACCCCTTCGTATCTCCTCGCCAGAGGGTCCCCGGGCACGGGTGATGGCTTCGGCGTCGGGGGAGTTCGGGTTGGCTTGCGTGCCGAAGAGCCGATGCCGCTGGCCTCTTCGTGGCTCCACTGGCGTGCGCATCAGGAGCGAGGGCCCTCGCCACGCACGGCTTCGAGGAGAGCCTGCGGGCGCGACTGCCGAGCCGAACCCCTTGCGCTCCTTGGGACCTTCACCGTGCCATGGCACAGGATGGCCCCAATCTGGCACAGTCGTGGTGAATGATGTGCGCGGCGTAGGGTCCTTCCCAACGTTTTTCCCAACCATCCTGTGGTGTTGGGTCCTCGTTTTGAACAGACGTCGCCCCGCGTTCTCCTCCTCCTCGTCTCCTCCTCCTCCTCGTTCTCCTCCTCCTCCTCCTTCCGCCTCCTTCCTCCTCCCCACCCCTCCTCCCCCTCCTCCTTCACCCCTGCGTTTCACCCACCCAGGACAACGCTTCGTGGCACCATAGGGAGCTCGAAGGTCCCAGTGGGACCGCCCGCATGCGTCAACCACCACCCAGCACAGCGCTTCGTGGCCCCGTCGGGGGCTCCACAGAAGGCCCCAGTGGCACCGCCCGCATGCGTCAACGCCACCCAGTACAGCGCTTCGTGGCCCCATGGGAAGCTCCACCGACGGCCCCAGTGGGACCGCCCGCATGCGTCAACGCCACCCAGTTCAGCGCTTCGTGGCCCCATTAGGGGCTCCATGAAGGGCCTCAGTGGCACCGCCCGCATGCGTCAACGTCACCCAGTACAGCGTTTCGTGGCCGCGCAGGGGGCTCCACCGAAGGCCCCAGTGGCACCGCCCGCATGCGTCATCGCCACCCAGGACAGCGCTTCGTGGCCCCATAAGAGGCTCCATTGAAGGCCTCACTGGCACCGCCCGCATGCGTCAAGGCCACCCAGGGCAGCGCTTCGTGACCCCAGAAGAGGCTCCATTGAAGGCCTCACTGGTACCGCCCGCATGCGTCAACGCTACCCAGGGCAGCGCTTCGTGGCCCCATAGGGGTCTCCACCGGAGGCCCCAGTGGCACCGCCCGCATGCCTCAACGCCACCCAGGACAGCGTTTCGTGGCCCCATACGGAGTGCCGCAACGGGGCGGGGAGACGCTTGAATTGGGCGGGGAGGGAGATTGATGTGGATCATCCGACTGTTGCCTTCGGTGTAGCTCCCTATGGGGCCATAGAACGTGCGAGTGATGTGCCGAAGTGAGGCGGGCAGACGCACGTGGACCTTCCCACTGTGGCCTGTGGTGGAGATCCCTATGGGGCCCCGGAACGTGCGAGGGCGGTGCCGAAATGGAGTCGGGAGACGCATGTGGACCCTCCCACTACGGTCTTCGGTGGAACTCCCTATGGGGCCACAAAACGTGCGAGGGGTGTGCCGAGATGAGGCGGGGAGGCGCATGTGGACCCTGCCACTCGGACTTCGGTGGAGCTCCCCGTGGGGCCACGGACATGATGTGGACACTGCCATGGGGGACCTCGGTGGAGCTATCCATGGGGCCACGAAGCGTGTGATGTGCGGACATGGTTGGGGGAGACGCATGTGGACCCTCCCACTGGGGCCTGCGGTTGTTCTCCCCGATGGAAGCGCGAAGCGTGAGGGGTGTGTCGATAAGGGGGCGGGGAGGCGCATGTGGCCCTCCCACTGGGGCCGTCGGTGGTGCTCCCCGTGGGGTCACGAAGCGTGTGAGGGGTTCGCCGAACTGGAGCGGGGAGACGCATGTGTACGCTCCTACTGGGGCCTTCGGTGGAGCTCCCTATGGGTGCACGAAGCGTGTGAGGGGTGTGCCGAAATTAGGCGGGGAGACTCTGTGGACCCTGCCACTCTGGCCTTCGGAGGAGCTCCTTCTGAGGCCACGAAACGTGTGCGGGGTGTCCCTAGCTGGTAGACTGATGCTGAGAGAAGAGGAAGTTAGGAGGGGATGAGGGGCAGGAGGTGAGGATCGGAGAGGAGACGCGGGGACTGTTTCTTCAAAGCGAGGACCCACCACCACAGGATGGCTG